TTCGGGTGCGGTAGATGGTTGCAGCAATGTTGAAAGCAAGCGAAGAAGCAGCGGCGCGAACGGCCGGCTTGTCGGGCTCGGCAAGCAAACTTGTCGTCGCTACTTGTACGAGCATCGAGGGAAGTCCACGTTCGTGATCGGTACTAAAGGCCGACTTGATAAAAAGATCCGACGTGAATAGATTGCAGGCCAATTGAATTGTGACAAGTCTCAAGTTGTAAGGGCAAGCATCGTCGTTTACGAGCGTCAGTACGTGGTTGATCAGGAATGTGAGTGTCTCCNNCGAGTCTCCAGGGGTAGACTCTTCGGCAAACCAACCACTGACTCGCTGGTCGACAAGTGCACAACGCAGTACATCATAGGCTGTAAACAGCACATCTGACGATAGATGACTGTGCGAATGACGAAGCCAGCGTGCGAAAGCAGGAAGATCTGGCAAAGGTGGAAGGTCGGATGTGTTGGAAGAGCGAGAAGAGATGAAGTGCTTCATTGCAACCACAGCTTTGTCCTTCGACTGGTCACCCATTTTGGCTAGCACCTTATCAAGAGGTGGAATTTTTGAGTATGTGATGGGGCTCAGTCTTCCAAACTGCAGGGTAGGCACGCGAACCTGAAGGTGAGGATGGGGAGGGAAAGCCTGTTGAAGAAGAGACTCAACATTCGCCTTTAGCTGTGCAGGGTTTGCTCCAGTCCACTCGTTGTCCTTCTTGCCATGGAGGAAGGTCATGAACGTTGGAGTAGCACGAATCTGGTACTTGGTCGCAAGTGCGTGTGCTTCGTTGATGTCGATTTTAATGAACGGAACCTTGGTGTGTTCAGCTGCCAGAGAGTCGTATGGTGCATATGCCATTTTGCAAGGTCCGCACGTGCTCGAGGTGAAGAAGATGACGGCACATTTGTCCTTCGCGCCGGCAAGAAGGTTGTCAACTGAAGACAGCTGCGTCACGTTATAAACGGAACCGTGTACGTCATCTGCTTTCGCAGCAGCGCCATCGCGGACTTCAAGCTTCTTGGGTTGTTTCTTTTGTGTTTGTTGAGGTGACTGTGTCTCAGCCTGAGCATGGCCATTCGTCTGATCAGCGTTTCCAGCACTACGGACTTCAAGCTTCTTGGGCTTCTTCTTAGGCGGTGTTTGATCTGATCCGTTCTGTTGCGACGCGGTCTGCGAAGAAGAAGGAACAGTAGCAGCAGAGTTACCGTTCTGGCTTATACGGTTGGCCTCGTCTCTCTGCTCCTTGCGTTCACGTTGAATCATGGGATTCTTCTCCGGAGGTACAGCAGCCTGTGTGATATGTCTCATCTCTGCATCAAGTCTCTGCTTCATCATTGATCCAAAGGGAGTGTTGAGCACTGTCTCGGGTAGAGCAGTAATATGATCCGGAATACCTCTTCCAACCAAGAACATGGAGAAGTCGTTAGAGAAGTTGTTACAGTTGTGCTTGAACAAGTCGTAAGATTCTGCGGTATATGTCTCTTTTAATGAGTCGAGGTATTCCAGGATATCGTCCAAGGGAATCTCAGTCTTGCCGAGCTTGATCTTCTCCATGGGCTGGCCGTGATGAGTGGAGCCGGGGTAGCAAGTCTGTACGCCAGCACCATAGAAATACTCGACACCCCCAAAGACCAGTGAGGTGTGGTATACAGCGTCGATGTGGATACCAAGAAGACCTTGCGACATCATCCTCGCAAGACCTTGGCTCAGGTCGTAGACATATAGTTCAACATCCATCATGAAAGTTGAGCTGTGAGGATTCTCTGAACCGATGGTGGCAGATTCGAAGGGAGGTCAATAGACGTGAGGTGTGTGTGGTATAGCAAGATCAAGATTTAGAAAAGAAGGTGGCTATATATCTTTAGGAGCAGAGACATGGAAAATGCTGGATGTTGTTGGAATTTTGGAGGCGGCGTCATCAAACAGGAGCCTGCGTCGCGCTCATGTCGGCCGGTTCTGGTCCGTGTCACCGAGCAGGACATGTCCATAGACACAAGCAGATCATCAACTGCTGACTTGCATCACAATAGTTTCTACATAGGCGTAGACGAGCAATCGACGCCAAAACATGTCCATAAGGATCGAATGCTTCAAACACAGTAGGTAAGCAAGCAAGCAAGCAAGCAAGCAAGCAAGCAAGCAAGCAAGCAAGCAAGCAAGCAAGCAGGTGGCGGGCCAAGCCAAGAGTGTTGAACTCGACGGCGACGCCAGAGGGATCAGGGGCCTCAGCCCTGCAAGGTCGACGAGTGAGAAAGGGGAGGAAGGCACAAATCACATAGAAAGGGAGCGTGTAACTATTTTTTTGGCTTTTCTCGTTCAGAGAGACTCTGAACTTGTCTCGCAACCTTGTCCGAAGCATCACAGCGGTGCTGCAAGGTGCAAATACCTGAACAACAATTCCCCCGGACCACCCTGACGTCCCAAAATAGTCGCATATCTGGCCAGACACAGTCGGGAGGATCCCCACAAAAACATTGGCCGGTGTACAGCGAGGTGACTGAGTACCTTCACCAAAACGAAACTTCCACATGTCGAATAGGAGCGACGTCAAACAACGACCCTCCCTCTGGTCCTATATCAGCTTTTCGTCAACGCCGCGGCGACGCAAGTCAGTCTCGTCGCATTCCCGTGCTCACAGCCAATCCATACCCCTAGCCTCGTCCAACTACGACCCTTTCGCGCCCACATCGAAATCTGCTTCAATGCAGGAGAAGGCCGGCTGGATGAATCAAGGTCAGCGATCGCGGTACATCAAGACGGGTGGCATCGTCGCCCTCGTCTTGTTCGTACTGTACTATCTGCTGCCGGGCTCGTCAGGCTCAGCAGCAACCTTCCCCACCGGTGGTGATGTTGCCTCAGACCCTTCCATGGGCACCACCAAATGCACACGTCCCTACTCTTCCACCAAGCCCCTGATCCAATACGCTCTCATGGTCGACGCCGGCAGCACTGGCTCGCGTATCCACGTCTACCGCTTCAACAACTGCGGACCCACGCCTGAACTCGAGAAAGAGCACTTTGAGATGACAGCCAAAAAGGAGGGTGGTTCCGGACTGAGTTCCTACGACTCGGACGCCGAGGGCGCTGCAAAGAGCTTGGATGTGCTGCTTGACGTCGCCATGAAGAACGTTCCCGACAAGCTCAAGGGTTGCACTCCGATCGCCGTCAAGGCTACCGCTGGTCTGCGCAAGCTGGGCCCCGAGAAGAGCGATGCCATCCTCAAAGCTGTTCGCAACCGTCTTGAGACCCAATACCCCTTCCCCGTCGTCAGCGAGGCTAATGGAGGTGTCGAAGTCATGGATGGCAAGGATGAGGGCGTCTACGCTTGGATCACAACAAACTACCTGTTGGGCAAGATTGGCGGCCCAGACAAGACCCCCACCGCTGCTGTTTTCGATCTTGGTGGTGGAAGCACTCAGATTGTCTTCGAGCCCACCTTCGCTCAGGCCAAGGATGGCGGTATGCCCGAGCAGCTTGCAGAGGGTGACCACAAGTACAAGCTCTCTTTCGGTGGTCGCGACTTCACCTTGTACCAGCACTCTTACCTGGGCTACGGCCTCATGGCTGCCCGCGAGAACCTGCACAAGGTTGTCATTGAGAACATGCACAAGTCGAACCCCGACTCCAACGCCTGGCTGACCAAGCCCGTGCTCAACCCCTGCTTGATTCCTGGCAGTACTCGCGAGATCAAGGTCCCTCTTGGTGAGGGCCACGCTCTCGGTACATCTGTCACCGTCAACATGACCGGCCCTACCACTGGTTCTGCTCCTCAATGCCGCGCTATCGCCGAGCAGACCCTCAAGAAGGAAGAAGAGTGCAAGATCTCTCCTTGCGCTTTCAACGGTGTCCACCAGCCTTCGCTCTCCAAGACGTTCGCCCGCGAAGACGTTTACCTCTTCAGTTACTTCTACGATCGTGCCCAGCCTCTTGGTATGCCCGAATCCTTCACTCTTTCCGAGCTCAAGGACTTGACCGCTCGTGTCTGCGAGGGTCCTAAGAGCGAGACCAAGGCCTGGGACGTCTTCAAGCCAATCTCTGGCGCAATCAAGGAGCTTCAAGGCCGCCCAGAGACTTGTCTGGATCTGAACTTCATGGTCGCTCTTCTGCACACTGGATACGAAATGCCCATTGATCGCGAGGTCAAGATTGCCAAGAAGATCAAGGGCAACGAATTGGGTTGGTGTTTGGGTGCCAGGTATGTTTACACACGCAAAGTCAAGTCAGGCCAATTGCATACTAACATGTCTGTANGTCTTCCTCTTCTCAGCCAGGAGAGTGGCTGGTCTTGTAAGATCAGTCAAGTTGCGTAGATGGGAGCATGATGTTGCATTTTCTGGCATGGGGCGTTACCTGCTATTTTTGGTTCATTATATGAAGATCGAGAAAATGGATAGAATGGTGTTTTCTCACCTAGGTTCCTGGGCCCGCGTATATGCTGCTACTGCTTACATGGTGTCGTTGTGGTCTTCCCAAGGCTCACTGCTGAACCGAGATGGTTTCCAGATCAATCAGAAAGAGCTTGCGATCAGTGTTTTTGGCGCTGTGCGAGTACGTAAGCTCTGAAGAAGCGATACTGTTTTGAACCACATGTAAATCAGTTACATGACAGTGAGCGCCTCGACAGAAAAGACAAGTACATGTCGTTCGTCTCAGGTGGCGAAGGTCGATATGAGCTGTCGAGTGTCAATTAGTGGGGACCGATTTGGTGCCGAGGCTGTCATTCCTGCATGAACATGCAGATTGCCATCAACAATTACTTGAGTACTTATTGCTCTCTCTCCATGAGGATCGAGTGGAAACAGTGTAGATGATGGATGACCGAGAGCTGCTATGGTAAATGTGCTCTTGGATTGTTTTGCTCCTTGAGGATGTCTTTGGAGAGCTCCACAGAAAAGCAGGATGACGACATCCATTTCATCGCTGTTCGCAGTTCACTTACATAGCAACCACCCTCCTCCGGCTTTCTTTCCAATTCTCATCTTCTAATCAAAATCCTCTTCCAACCAACATGTCTCCCATTCGTGTCGGTCTCATCGGTCTTTCCACTGGCTCCAAGAGCACTAGCTGGGCCAGCACAGCTCATCTGCCATACCTCCTCTCCGAACAGGGCAAGGCTCACTACGAGATCAAGGCTTTGTGCAACTCGTCCGTTGACAGCGCAAAGAAGTCTATCGAGCACTACAAGCTCCCTGGAGATGTCAAGGCCTATGGCTCTCCCGACGATCTGGCCAACGACAAGGACATCGATCTGGTTGTTTGCGTTGTCGGTGTCGAGGGACATTACAAGCTCTTGAAGCCTTGTGTTGAGGCTGGCAAGAACTGCTACACTGAGTTGCCTCTAGCATCCAACATGGATCAGATTAGAGAATTGGTCTCTTTGGCTGACAAGAAGGGCATCAAGACCATGTTCGGATCTCAAGGCCAGGCTGCTCCTGTTGTCAAGCTCCTGCAGAAGGTCATTGCCGACGGCAAGATTGGCAAGGTCTTGAGCACTCAGCTCAGCGGTTGCACCAACATTGGCGGAGGTGCAAAGATCCCTGCTGGCTTCAGGTATATCATCGAGAGAAAGGCTGGTGGAAATCACGCCACTATTTTCTTCCTCCACAGTAAGTTCAAGTTGAGTTGATTATCAGTTGAATGTATCTGACAAATCTAGGTTNTCACCTGCTTGCTCGAGGTCTTTGGCGAGCTTGAGTCCTTCGACACTATCATGGGTATCGAGCGTCCCAAGGTCGATCTCATTGATCTTGAGAACCAAGGCAAGGTCGTCGACACAATCACCAAAGACACACCAGACAACATTGCCATGCAAGGACGCTTCAAGTCCGGTACTCTCCTGAACTACGATCTCCGCTCCGCTGCTCCCTTCCCTGGTGAGCCTGGCGTGAGATGGACCATCAACGGAGAGAAGGGCGAGATTCTCGTTACCAGCCCATCTGCCATGTTCGACATTAATCACGACGGCGTCAAGATCCAGCTCCATGAGACAGGCAAGGACAATGCAGAGACCATTGAGTTGCCCTCTGACAACTTGTCCGACCTCAAGCATCCTTCGCAAAACGTCGGCAGACTGTACGAGGCCTACGCCATGGGAGACACCAAGTCTTACTGCGACTGGAAGTTGGCACTCAGACGTCATGAGTTGATCGAGGAGATGTTCCAGAGAGGCGATGGAAGCAAGCCTTTCGGAGAGAAGGCTGCATACCTCTCAAAGGAGAGCTCATCGAGCGGCAAATCTACTGGCTCAATCCAGGGCAGCAATGCTGAGGTCGATGCCGATGCTCAAGGCACCATCATCGCTGATAGAGAGGTCAAGCCTCGCGAGATCACACGCGAGGCTGGTTCTGGAAGTGCCCAGACCACAGTCCAGTCTCTGGAAGCAGAGGGCTTCGGTGCCTCTTCCGGACCTAACGATCTGAGCAAGAATGCAGGCAACCGCGATCTTGCCTCGTAAAGAAGCAAGGAGAGAATTTATGTTTATAACGGCATACGAACATGATAATATATGATTAATCAAAAAAGCTGATTGTACATGGAATCTTCTGACTCTTCCACTCATGACTTCCTCACAGCCCTCTTCCAGGCTTCTCCTCTCCAAAGAATTCAGGATTCACCCCTCCAAAGTCTGGGTCTTTCAAGTGCGCTTTTAGCAGAGCATTAGGCCAACTAACCGCAGGAGCCTTCTCCGGTCTCTTGACCGCTTGCCTCACGACCGCATCACCCAGACACTTTTCCACCCCTAATCTCGGCAGCCACCGTTCAATCTCCTCACAATATCCTCTCGCATCAAACCCATCCCGCAACGGAGATCCAAGGTCCATCAAAATCGCTACCCGTGCAAGTCTTGCCAGTGACGATATCCTCTCTGCTATCTGCGGTGAGATGTGCAATGCAATCGCCATCCAAACCTCTTTACTTGCAGTTTCTNNTGAGGCACCATGGGAGAGGAGGAGTGATGTTGCTGCGTCTGCGCCTGAGATCTCGAAGCAGTGGGGTGTTGAGGCGTGGTTGTTGCTGACGCCCATGTCGTGGTGGAAGATGCAAGCTACGAAGAGTAGATCTGGGTCTGTGGAAAGTGTGTTTCCTTGGGAGACGAGATGTTTGGCGAGGAGGAAGACTTGAGGACTGTGGTTGAAGATTGGGAGGTTGAGATTGGTGTGAGCGAGAGATAAGNNAGCGGTGGTGCTGAGGATTGAGGTAGGTATGTGAGTTGTGATGCTTGATGGGAGGTCGGGCATGGTCGGTGGAGTTGAAGATCGCATTGCGACAGTGTTGGTTTTTGGGTGCGGACTTTTGGTGGTTGTAAAGAATGATCTGGGCGGAGTGCATCAGCCTCTTGTATGTTGTTCTGGCAAAGCTATGCTTCTATGGATGTGGGTTACTGCTGGTCAGTGCCAACGCTTGACAAGTCAACCCACGCCCTGTTAATTCCTATCCAAGAAGGTAACACGCAATCATTCTCAAACAGGTCACAATTGGATCGTGGATGTTGGATAGAATACTCGAAAAGCACTCTGGAGATGAAGCTTATACACAGAATTGGGCTTGCTTGACTGGATCTGAGGACCAGTATTGTGAATAGAACGGTGGTTGTCCCGACAAGTGGGACTTGGGCACAAGGTATGTGATGGATGGAAAAGGAAGAAGGAACGAAGCAAGTTCTTGTCATACCATGAGAGTTGACATCTAGTTGTTCTTGCCATCCTCTGCTGCGTTCTCGACAACATCTACCATGAAGCCACCTCCCAGCAGAATCGCTGGCTCGTCGATACTGTGATGTTCGTAACTGNNTCACCAATTAGCATGATGAAACTCAATTCAGAGCCCGTGTATCAAGACATACCTCAAAGTTCCCACACCACCAGCATCGAGCAACATGCTAGGGTTGTCCGCAATGTTCTTGTTGATCCACCTTGCCGCAAACGCCCTGAGAATATGCCCGTGTGCCACAATCAACACATCATACGGCTCAGCCTCAGCCTTGGGCTTGCCAATAGAGTTCTTGTGATACTTTTCCCTAATCTCTGCAATCACGGCATCCAAACGCTTGGTGATTTGCTCAGGGCTTTCACCACCAGGACACCCATCTTTCCAAATGTCCCATTTGTGCTGTCCGACCTTTTCTCTCTGCTCACCAATGTACTTGCTAGTCAAGCCCTCGTAATCGCCATAATCCCACTCTCGCACGCTCTCGGTGACTTGGACTTTCGCTTCGGTCTTGACGTTGCTGTCGTCGTGTTCGGCATCGGGTTTCCAGGGCATGGGGTCTTTGCAGCCGAGGTTGAGGAGCTCGAGGGTTCGTTGCGAGCGGGTGCGAGGAGATACATAGATGTGCGCGAGGTTCCTGGGGACGATGAGGCGGTCGTCGCCGACTAGGGCGTTGCCGGTTGCGCGGATTCGCTTCTCACCGTTCGCGGTGAGGGGGNNGATGTCGGAGGTGCCGGTGTGTCGGCCATTGAGCGACCATTCGGTTTCGCCGTGGCGGATGATGAAGACTCGCGGAGTGATCTTTTTGTCGGCCATTGTTATGGAGATTAGATGGTCGAAGAATCGGTGGATGCTTGAAGGGAGATGGGCAGAAGAGTGTGTTTATGAAGCTGGCGGGGTCCCCGGATGAAGGTGGGACTTTTGTTATGACGTCGTTGATGACATTTTTTGGACTATGTCAGACCTCGTCCTTGTTCATATAATTTCTGCACATCATCTCGCTTGCCGGTCGGAGATACTGGTCGAGAGCTGGGGTCATAATGTTCGTTGATATTAGCATACTGCGTGAGTACGGCTTGTTCTAGAAGTACAATGTGGTAGTATACATGATCGGGAATCCTGAGTGTAATCGCCGTGCAAGATCCATGCGATAGAAGCCTGAGAATCGCAATAGAGTGGAGTCAGTCTATTTTGTTGTATTGGGCCTGGCTTTGTTGGGCAGCATCTCCTCTGGAATCTCCTTGAATCGCTGCATTCTGATAGGTCGTTTGCAGGCAGTCGGCGCAGGATGGATGGGCTTTGTGTATGTGAGCCAACGCGACTGCAAGTTGTTGGTGACCATGTTGGAGATAAAGTAGAGCAAAAGTCCAGTAGGCATGTGCAGAGCCGGGATGATGGATAGCATCGCAACCGTCATCATGATTCTCTGCCCATTAGTCGGCTTTGCTCGTTCGTCTACTTTGCTTCCAGTCACAGTACCCTGTATACGGGGTGCAAAGTAGATGCTGGCGAGAAAGGTACCGCTGAATACAACCGGAAGGAGCATAGTAGGATCTGATGCTGTCAAGTCGGGGCACCAGGAGAAGCCTTCAGTCAAGAGAGTCGGATCGAACCAGGCAGAGTTGAGATGACCTGCCACTGCTATCGATGCTTCTTGGGCCAAACCGCTTGTAGCGTCTTGTGCTATCTCAGTAGCAGATAAGCCTTGGTGTTCCGAAAGACCGTCAAGCCCGGTGTTCGTCAATGGATTAAAAACAGGACTGGCTACCGATACCTCTGCTTCTCCAGGACTTGTTTCTGTAAGGGAAGATGGCACAAGCCAGCTCAAAGTCCAGTCCAGAGGGCCCAGGACAAATTTCAACAGGCCCTCCTTGGCACCCATCATTCTTCTCAAGCCATCTGAAACCACGATGGTTGTCAAAAACATCAGGAGTCTGTGACCGTACAAACGGGAGTGCGCAGACATGGCGTCTTGAGTACGATTTCTGATCCGCCAGGAATTCACAGTCAAGTTCAGCTTGTGGGCCATGGACTTCTGGGTTCCCTTGGAAGTACGCCTATAGAGGATGCGTTTGACGATGCTCATGTTGGCATCCACAAGAGGTTGGAGTTGAGCACGAGCAACCAGCTTCTCGCGCAAAGGGCGTTGAAACAAGGGGTAGATGAGCAGCGATCGGATCAAGACGGCGGACAGCGGTATAGCGGCAAACCAAGGTAGGCCAGTGGAATGAAGCGAGTCCAGACATGCAACAGGCATGAGAGCGACATAATCTGGTAGACCCTTGCAGCCATGTTCGACGACGGCCTGGATTGAATATTGACGAGCTCCATGTTGTTTCGGCAAAAGCGGCGATCGAGCAGAGAGCAGGCGACCAGCAGGCCTTGCTAGCAACACCATGTTCCCAGACAAACTGACTCGATGAGTGAGCAAAAGATGAGGGTATTCATTATCGATATGTGCCATGGTGCCAAGCCGGCGCTTGAGAGACGATGCGGGCCGAGGATTGCGGTCCAGGGACAGGGACAGGGACAGGGTTAGGGTGGGCTGATGGACTCGAGTCAGCGGTAGCTCTAGAGCTGTCACACGCGTCCTACGCAACAACACGAAACAACAACTGGACTCATCAGAGATCCGACATGAAACCCACACAAGCATGCCTGGTCTAGCACTGCTCATATCGCTGGCGGCCGTGACCGTCGGCCTGTCCTACTTGCTAGTGCCTTATGTTATCCGCTTCATCACGCAGAACATTGGCTCGACGGTTCGTGCCCGCACCCAGACTAGGAGAGAGCTGTTGCTCAAGAGGGCAGCCGACGACGAGAAGGCCTCGCTTCCCAAATCCAACAAGAACCGCCTCGCCAAAGCTGACTACCATGGAAAGCCTGCACACGAATGGGAGGGCATTATTGGCTTCTTCCACCCCTTCTGGTACTTCTGCTCCAACCGGCCTCCATGACAAGACACTGACAACGCCTGTAGCAATGCAGGAGGCGGCGGCGAACGAGTGCTCTGGGCAGCCATCCGCGCAACCCAAGAACGCTACCCCAAAGCTCTCTGTGTCGTCTACACGGGCGACCACGACGTCGACAAGGACACCATCATCGCAAACGTCAAGAACCGCTTCAACATCCCTCTCCACGCCCCTCGTCTCACCTTCCTCTACCTCGGCACCCGCGACTTCCTCCTCGCTCAACACTGGCCTTATTTCACCCTCCTCGGCCAGAGCATCGGCAGCTTGATCGTCGGCTGGGATGCCTTCAACCTCGTCGTCCCCGACATCTTCATCGACACCATGGGCTACGCCTTTACCGTCGCCTTCTCACACTTCCTGTTCCCCGATGTCCCTACAGGTGCCTACGTCCACTATCCCACCATCTCCACCGACATGCTAGGGAGCCTCGACGCCTCTGGTCGTGGTGTCAACGCAGGCGCAGGAAGTGGTTGGAAGGGAAAGGCCAAAAAGACATACTGGCACCTCTTCGCCCGTCTGTATAGCTGGATCGGCGGCGAGATCGACGTCGTCATGACAAACTCGACCTGGACTCAGAATCACATCAAAGCCCTGTGGGGACGCACTCGCCAAAGGAGGCGCTGGACACGCGACACATTTGTCGTCTTCCCACCCGTGGCCGTCGAAGAGCTGGAACACGAGATTGAAGTATCCGAAGAGTCGGAGAAGAGCAGGAGAAAGGACATACTCTACATTGCACAGTTCCGCCCCGAAAAGGATCACCAAAACATCATCATGGCCTTTGCCGAATTCTTGCGCCGTCACAACACCGGGGACAAGGATACTCCCAGGTTGGTTCTTGTAGGCTCGGTGCGTGACGAAAAGGATAAGATGCTGGTCTACAAACTACGTGTGCTGGCGCGCGAACAACACATTGCCGATCACGTCGACTTTGTCATTGATGCAAAGTGGTCGCAGATCTTGGATCGCCTGAGAACCAGCTGGATCGGTGTCAACGGCATGTGGAACGAACACTTTGGTATTGGCGTCGTCGAGTACCAGGCTGCTGGACTGATCTCCGTTGTCGACGACAGCGGTGGTCCAAAGTACGATATTGTGGTTCCGATTGACGGAAAGCCTACCGGTGAGTCTATCTTGTTCTGCTTATGGTGCTGTCTCTTACTGACATTCGACCCAACAGGCTTCCATGCAAAATCACCTACAGAATTCGCAGACGGCTTTGCCAAGGCGCTGGAACAGTCACCTGAAGAAACACTGGCTATGCGTAAAAGAGCCAGGACGAGCGCGAAACGCTTTTCCGAAGAAGTTTTCCGTGACAGCTGGAACGCACAGATGGACAGACTGATACATTTGCGCGTGACGCCAAAGGGAGAGCGTCAAAAGCTGAGGCTAGAGTAGACACTCAATAGACTATTAGATTACTATGCTATGATTTGCTCTCCCTTCTCTTATTCCATTCTATGCTGATGTTCTATGCCCATATTCAATCTAATCTATCACGAGGCCATTCTATACCGTCCCATCTCCGTCTTCTGCGCATTACATCTCATGTTCCTCAGTCGGCGCTCTACGCTGACCAAGACTCCCACGCTGCCACTTCCTCAACAACTTGACAGCCCTCACCCTGACAGAAGTCTGCTGACCCTCATCACTGTGCTCAAACGCCTTATCAATATCCTCCAGAGTCTTGCCCTTAGTCTCTGGCATCTCCATCGCACAAACCACCACCGTCACCAAACTCGCCGCGCCAAACATGAAGTAAATCCCACTGCTCGAATGCTGCAAAAACACCGGCGTGCTAAACGCAACCACGAAATTGACCACCCAATTCGAAGACTGCGCCAGACTCGTTGCCGGCGCTCTGGTCTTCGCGGGCTGGATCTCCGAAGCGTAGATTTTGATGCCCACGGCCCAGGTTGTGCAGTATGTTAGGGCGAAGATGTAGATCAGCACGATTACCATCCAGCGGGCTGCACCGTGGGAGCCGTGCACGCTGCCGGATGCGTATAGAGCGCCGATTATGAACATTGTGGTGCTGAGGAGGCAGCCGCCGACTAGGGTGGAGGTTCTGCGGCCCCATTTGTCTGCGAGCATGAAGGAGGGAATGGTGATGAGGAACATGAGTAATGCGGAGACTCCGGAAGCGAGAAAAGAGGAGGTAGCGCTGTTGAGACCTGCCTGTTGAAACAAGAGGGGCGCATAGTAGAGAACTCCATCAATTCCTGAAAGCTGCTGCATTCCCATCACAAAACAACCTAANAAGGTGCGTTTGCGGGCGTCTTTGGCAAAGACGGCGAGCCAGGAGACGTGTTGAGGGTCGTGAACGCTCTGGCGTGAGCGGATTGGCGTCAAAGCTAGACTCTCTGGTTCTTGGATCGTCAGGTTTTGGTCTTGTTGGTCATTCTTCTCGCGTTCGGCGTCGGCGATGCCTAGTCTTTCCCAGGCTTCATGCGAGTCGTCCATACGGCCTTTGCTCTTGAGCCATCTGGGTGACTCGGGCAAGAGGAAGAAAGTCAACAGGGCATAGGTGAACGCGAGAAAACTCTGCAGAGCAAAGGGGAACCTCCAGCTGAAGCTTGTGGTGGAGCTTCGTACTGTGCCGTAGCAGATGAAGTAGCCGACTGCAATGCCCATTGTCACTAGCAGCTGTTGGACACTGGCTAGTACACCCCTTTCTCTAGCCGGAGCAATCTCGCACACATAAACCACGAGGGTACTCAGGAATAGTCCTTCGCCCACACCAGTAATGCAGCGTCCAACGAACAGCATGGCGAGGTTCTGAGCACCGGCTTCTAGTGCAGTTCCTGCTGCAAAGATCAAGCCTCCGACAGAACAGGTGATGATACGACCCATATAGTCCGCGACATTGCCAGCAAAGAATGATGTCAACGAGGCTGGTATCAAGATTGATGAAACGAGAATACCGTGGATGGTCGAGGAGAGTGGTCCGAAGGAGTCGAGAAAGGTCGGCATGGTGGTGATAGGACCAATGCAACCTGTATCCAGTCCAAAAAGTAGGCCTCCAACCGAGATAAGTATAGAGCAGAGGACATACGGCGCTGGCGGACGCATGGCCATTGCCTTCATCATGTTGTCGAGTGTAGAGTATCAGAAAAGGGTTGATTGTGAGGTGAAAGAAAAGTCTCAGTCCGATACCCTCGATCTTGGGCAGTCTTCAAGAAATATCTGCTGACCACCTCGTCGTCGGCCTACCTTCATGCTCATGATTACATTGTGGAGTCGCCCACGGGGACTGAAGATTATGATAACATTTTTTGGTGGGCAGAGTCCCTCAACAGAGTCAATGCAGTTGTCGAGGAAGGTCTGCCGAGCGGAATGTACGAAAAGGGCAATGCTCCGAAGAGACGGCCAGTCTCTCACAAGCGACTTTAGGCAAAAAAGAAGAAGAAGGGACAAGAGCTGTTTTTTTTGGGTTGTCGGGTGTCGTGAAACTAAAGACATCGAAACGGGAAGGTGCGGACCGGACTTGCGATTTGCATCCTCTGAACGTTTTTGTTGCAGAAGATTCGCAGAGATAAACAAACTTGCAGCATATCGCGAGTCCCTGCATCGCCAATCTCCAGTGGCATCTTGGTGATATGCTCGACTTTGCTGGCGACTCAATCCTGCTTTTACTGGAGCCGTTGTGTATAGCCTTCTCGTGATGGAGCTGCAAGTCAAGATACACGAGCATCTCATCGATCTCTGTATGCGCCCTGCCCCGCAACAAGAGGATGCAGTGACAGATCAGGTGGGCTTGTGGCTGCACGCCGTGCGTCATCCACTCTATCCAATCTTGAACAAAATCGCTTGACAGTGCACCCAACTAAACTTCTCTCACCTTCAATCTCTCTTTGACATAGCTTGACCTGACCGTGCTGTATTCTTCAATAATCAGCCAACAGGATGGACAAGGTCACGCAAGTTGTCGTCTTCTCGTCGACGGCGATTGCCCTCTATGGCTACGATCAAGGTATGAAGCTTGATCATCAGGATGGAACCAGTGCTGACAACTTGTAGNGTATGATGAGTTTGATCAACACGAACGAAGACTATCTCAGCACAATGGGTCTTCCTGAGGAGAGTCCCATCGTTGGTCTTATCGTAGCTCTGTACTACTTGGGTACTGCCGTTGGAGCTGTCATCTTCTCCTACCTGGCCGATCGCTATGGAAGAAAGCCTGCGCTGTTCGGATGTCTCGCAATGTCTTCTCTCGGAAACCTCATCATGTTCGTCGCTGGTCTGAAGTTCTCGAAGGGAGCTATAATTGTCATGATTGCTGGTAGAGTCGTGATGGGACTGGGTGTAGGCGGTGTTGATGCTGTGGTTCCTGTCTACAGGTGAGTTCGTCGACCCGATAGCATGGTACGCAGTGCTAACCTACCGAACAGCTCCGAGCTCTCCGAAGATGAAGCCCGTGGTAAAGCACTTGCTCAAGAGTTCCAGTGGAACATCTTTGGTCTAAATTTAGCATTTGCGATCAATCTTGGCTTGACTGTAGCTCTGGGCAAGTCTAACCAATGGGCTTGGAGACTTCCCATTATCATCATGCAAGTCTATCCTGTCCTCTTGATGGCATTCATTGGCATTCTTCCCGAGTCTCCGAGATGGCTCATCTCTCACGACCGCAAGGATGATGCCAAAGCAGCTCTTACTAGAATATATGGAGAGGATCAGGCCAAGGACACTCTAGACAAACTCATCGAGTCTAACGACAACGAGTCTTCTAAAAATGTCACTTACACCGACATGCTTACTCCAGGACACGCTCAGTTCCATCCCACAATGGTTACCGTCATGGGACAGATCAATCAGGCTCTCACAGGATATGGAGCCGTCTCGGTCTATGGCCCGCAGATCTTCGAGCTGCTTGGGTTCGATACTCGTATGTCTGAGTATTTGACACAGGGCAACTACATCTCTTACTTCATTTTGATGACATTTGCATGGCTTCTGGTTGATGCCGTCGGCCGCCGCAAGGTACTGCTTGGTGGATCTATCGTCTTGACGGTCTGCTTCTTCTTGCTCACATTGTTTGGTGGTTTGGCTTTCAACTCCGATGATCTGGGTATTCCGGATGTGGCTGTTGCTATCCCTGGCATTGTGGCTCTTTATGTTGCTACTGGTGCATTCGGTATCGGTTGGCTTGCGACCATCTGGGTAAGTCTGATCACAAGACAAAGAGACCACACACACATATACTGACAAACCTCTAGTNTGATCCCAACGGAGATCTTCCCAACCACTGCTCGCGCGCAAGGAACAGCCGTCAGTGTCGTCGTCTGGGGTTTGGCCAACTTTGCCGTCACTCTTCTGACACCTATCCTCTTCAACAACCTTAACTACTGGCTCTTCCTCGTGTTCGGCTTCTCGAACATGTTCGCTGGAATCTGGACATACTTCTACCAACCTGAGTCTGGTGGCCGTAGCTTCGAAGAAAACCAGAAGTTCTTCGAAGAGGCCAAGAAGTCCGGTACCTGGAGAGTCGGTGCTGTTCTGGACGGTGAATTCAAAAAGATGCCATACCCCAGCTCGGACAATGATGACAGCGAGAACACGCCCTTGTTGAGGAGAGTCAGGGACCAAGTCTCGGCTTAAGTCCATGTGGATAGGCTTAGTATGCTTATGCATGTTGATGAGACATGACGTTACAGCGATGAGTTCACGATCAAAAACACAGCACTAGAGATAAAGTGGAATCTCCTACGATGTAGCTACATATAGACCGGTCATTCTTACTGTAAAGATCGGTGCATCTAATGAAAGGCACCATCGAGATTGGTGTGTGTGACACGTCGGCAGCAGGTGCCCCACATGCCCTTGACCTGACTGGATATGTTCCTTTTGGCACCTCACCGTACGACCGTGTGTGATAATACACCCATATCTTCATCTTTCACCCGTTACAGAAATAACTTGACTTTCCACCACAAACTCTCAAAACATCAATCTGTGATGGAAAGTGCGATGGCCATGTGACGTCAATCAACATTGGCATTTCCAGCTATTAGTGCGACGTCCTGCTTCAATTCTCCCACAATTTCCAACATTCTCACATGTGCCATTCATCATGGCGCGTCAGCAGAAAATCGCCAAGTCGATAGTCTATGCGATCCTCGAGAACACTGGAGCGAAGGTGCGCTCGCTTTTGNCGCGCATTCTTACAGCCATCGCGTACTTCTTTTCTCTCTACCAACTATCGTTGACTAGACATCGCAATGATCTCTTCGAGAGACTGCGAGAACAGTGGCAAGTGGATGACGAATATTACAAGGACAGTTTCGGTGAGAGAAACGGTTTGGAAGCGCAGGGTGATATGGGCTTCAGTGGAAGCGTAGGTGTTTTGCCCAGTCCGTACGCGCAGCAGACTAAGCAATGCGCAGNNACCTTCTACACCACCTCTGACGGAGCGTATCTCGTCAAAAGCGTTCCTCGAGGGTTCGAGCATTCATTTTTCCGTGACGAATTTTTGGAACCTTACTACAACCACATGATGGCACACACCAAATCACTTCTCATCCGGATTACTGACTTCCTCGAATGGTCCCGCTTTGGCATTGGCGGTCTGTTAGGAACGGCTCCGACACATCACATCATCATGGAAAATATCTTGATCGGCAAGGAAAATGATAGCACATCGAACTGGGAGACTTGGGATCTAAAGCCTACGTCGTACTTTTTCCCAGAACGGGATATCGCGAATGGCAGGCTGACCTCTGACGACACCAAGGACCATTTAGCAGACAAGTTCGAGGACAAGATAGTCTTGACTCAACCCCAGGCCGACGATTTCTTTGAGCAACTCTCGGGAGATACCGAACTACTCGAAAGGTGCAATGCTGTCGACTATTCGTTGTTTCTGGTCAGGATCCCGCTTATCAGCCAGGACAACTCATCTGCACGTGAGGACCAGGACGCAGCCATTCAACAATCACACAGACCTCCATTTGTGCCACCAACGAATTCTTGGCGCACTGGAGTGTACTCCGCTGACCAGAAGTTCGTATTTCGCGCTGCGGTTCTCGACTTCTTCTGGGCCAAGCACAAGCTGCAACCTAGGATTATGACATGGTTGATCAAGGCATGGAACCTGATCGATCGTCAAGGACCCATGAGCATTACTACCACCCCAGAGGAATATCGTCACAGGTTTCTCTCAATGTGTCACGAGATGGTTGAAATCAAGAACTAAGCACTGCTTCCCGAGGGGTCCTATAAGACTTGCTGAAACTGCTTACACGTCCCTAGTTTAGCTGCTGCCTGAAGAGTCTTCGGCGCTTTCGGCCGATGGAATTTATTAGCCTCCTTGTCTATAATCAGCGTTGCACTCGGCCCGGCACGTAATAGGTTGTGTCCGCCTATTGTCTGTTAAGCGGCCTCTACGATTACTGTTCATGTTGACATCGAATCAAGATCATGACCCATCGTCATTTGATCCCCCAGCCCTAAAGTCAACAACGATCATTGCCGATTTAGTTTGGACGGGTGGATTTACACAGTGCACTGAGATCAATCAGGAACTTCTTGACGAGGGGTAAGGGTCATACCTGGCTAGTCGCGAACGTCTGGTCTCAGGATGATCTGCGATGTCTGTTCGGAGTATGTTAAGCCTCCGCCGGAGTAGACTCCTCACCGCTAGCAAACGTATTGCCAATCCTCTTTGTTACGAACCTCATCGTGATCATGTGTAGACATCCACTGAGAACATTGTGAACCTTTCAAAGCCGCTTGAAGCGACCGAATCGACACCTACGCAGCATGAACACCCCGATGGTGGTGACCTGCGAAGAAATTTGTAGGGCGGTTGCTACCAAAACAGTCATCTGCATTGGTGTGGTCAAAAGACTGCAAGCAGCCAACGCACAAGACATGTGCTACGCACGTTTCCCGAGAATAACATCGATATGCGCTGCTCAAACAGATAGCCGCCGCAGCTGGGCGGCCTTCGAAATAGCGGCAGCCCAAACAATCAGCCGCCCTTGCATACACAGCTGAGTGGGAGGACCACCACGCGTCGTCTGCGGTCCCCACCAACCAAACAAAGCTCGAATGAAGGATTCAGCCTGGACTCTGGTTGCATATCAGAGGCTTGCGTTCCAGATTTCTGGTGGGTGCCATGCATAGAGCTTCGTAAAGATGTGGCATGTGCCGTGCCGATGTTCCTTCTCGGAGCATTTCCTCAACTAGACGTCCAAGCACAACGACAACGACAACGACAACTAATCAGCAGAATCCAACAACGTCGCTTCGATTGGAGAAGGTTGCGAAGAAAGTCCGAATCGCGAGTCAGATATGTTTTCTTCCTGCTATTCGACTAGCATGTGGCGATAGAGACAAAGAAACAGAGTTGGAGCAGGCGGCTAGGGACGCATGAACGCTCAGCTCACTAGCCAGATGCACCTCATGCAAAGCCGGGACGTTATCTGAAGCCTTCAGTTTCGTGTCATTCGTTGCATTCTTTGACTCGTTCAGCCTTGGTGAGCCATATGACGCTTCCCGGTGGTGGTCATCAAGCGGTCAATCGAAGTAGTATTCGAGTCAAAAGTGGACGAGAACGAGCATGATGAAACTTTGCTGGCCGAACCTAAGGTCTTTACTTCAGTCGCTTACTCAAACAGTTTGATTAGACCACTTTTGGGTAGCAGTCTCAAGCCAAAGTGGTTCACTTTCTCGGACATGCAACCTCCGCACCACCCGAGGAACCGCGCTTTGCAGGGCAACACCGTGCTCCATCAATGCATGCAGGTCCCACTACTCCAATGTCCCAGGTGATAGGCTGTCCTCACGCGGGGACGGAGCTCTACTCATTGCCTCTGAAGCTCTTAGATCCTGGAAAGGTGCTATATAAACATCCTCTTCCACTCTTCTCGACCTCAACTCTTCCAACCTACAACATCATCAAAAGCCTTCTTTACAAGCTCAATACCTGGCGACGACTGTCCAACTAAAGCGACACCTTCCTGATCACAGCTCTTCTCAAATGGCTACTGCGGAGGTCCAACGGCCTGTTCAGGCCAAGCCTGCGCCCTCGATCCCAGACTATCTCGCCGATCCGGATGCTGTGCTCAAAGATACCCAGGCCAAATGGCGATACGGCAGAGCACCCGACTACTCCAAGACGCGAAAGGTGTACGCAGAAAGTGAGTATTCGCCGATTTCATTGTTCTTGATCCGCACGTCTTCGCCACGTACGACCACGCACCTGTCAGCAACAGACGACCTTGAAGACAGCCGCACATGGGCTTGAGATTGTACCTTATCGACAGCTTTCCACAATTAGGCATCTACCCCATTGCCCTAATAGTCATGTAGCAGACTTTGTGCCTGCAGAACGATTCTCCACTTGTGCAACGTCAAACCTCCCCACTAGGCTAAAAGGCTAACAATCCGAAAGCTANAACAGGCGAATCATATCTCTGGCAGCCTGGAAGATATGGTTGAGAACCTCGTCAAGAACTGGGAGGTCGAGGCCTCTTTCAAGCCCGAACTTTCAGACTGGCGAACTGTCGACCACAGCAAGTACTCCTTCGCCATCAATGGAGGCCCGGGCCAAACAGGAGAACACATGCTCAAGGTCGGAACATACAACGCTATCATTGCTCCCAACGAGTACTACAGTCCAGTATACTCAGACTTTGCAAGCAGCCACAAGACATTCAAGCGGATGATGCCAACCTTCGCTTGGGAAGTCCTCGAAGTTTACAGTGGCCCACCAAGAGTCGCCTTCAAGTGGAGGCACTGGGGCACCATGAAGAATGACTATGTTGGTTTCAATGAGTAAGTCTTGAAGACCCACCCATGACTCGTATGACACAAAGTTGACATCTTGCAGCNNAAGGGAGAGAAGGTGACAGCCAAGGCACATGGAGGAGCTATTGACATCACTGGCATTACCATTGCTACCGTTGACGATGCGGTACGACTACAAGACGTCAACACATACTTCGATCCAATGGAGATGTTCCGCCAGATCGCACCTAATGGCATCGTCAACAGGCAGGTTATCGACAAAAGAATCGATCCCTCTGTCGCCCTCGACACCCATGTTCCGTCGCAAGATGGCCCAAAGCTCGCACAGGCACATGATTCGGATCATCCAGATGAGAGTCGACCTGCAGATACTACCGCGACCTCGGAGACCGAGGCGAATAACACTTCAACCACTGGCACATGTCCCGTGTCTGGTGCTAGCATGAGTGCCGCTCTCTCGGCAGGTTGTCCCGTGATGAGTGCCATGCAAAGAAGCACCATCAGCTCTCCCGCATCCAGTTCTGAGGGCGAGTGGGTGAAGGTGCCTACCAAAAAGGAAGGCATTGCTCGCTCAGCATACTCATCCTCCGTGACTGGCGATGTGGAGCATCGATTGTCAGCCAGCAACAAGATCGACTACAGCCAAGATGCTGGTGTTCACGACTACGTCGATGAGCACCTCGGAAGCTCGGCTGCGAAAGTGCATCCTCACCCACACACCATGGAGCAATCAGTCAAGCCAGTGGTTGGGGATGCGGTTGTGTCTGGCCCTCGATCTGCAGAGACCAAGCTAACACACCATGAGATGAGCAGTATCACCAAAGACGAGGAGCCATTGCTGATGAACAGAGAGTGATCGTTTCCTTTGAATGGCCGACTTGCTTCTTTCCTTGAGCTCTCCTCTCTGCCGTTGCGAAGATTTGTCGGGTTTGATTACGGTGCGTATACAGGCTTTGTGTAGAGCCTTCAATTTTGTTTTCGGAGCTTGTATTTCTGAGTCAGTTCTCTTTTGTGGTTTCGGATTACTATGTTTCCAGATAGCAGAATCATGCTTAGTGTTTCCACCGAAAAGTCCTCTCATTGTGCAGTCAAGAGGTTGCGCAGGTTTGATCGCAATTTAGGTGAGTTGTCGTTGGTTTACTGGCGCAATCGTTGAGAAGATACTCCTCGGACATGAACGATCTATGCAAGGCTTTCCTCTGGTTGTCGCTGTTAAACATACTGAACGACGCTGAATCATGGCCATTATCCCTTCCAACAGCCGGCCTTACCGATTGCCATGTCTCTTAACCAGTCGTCAGAGGATTGCGCATCTGGAGTTAGCGACACTTGGGTCTTTGAGATGCATTGCATAATTATTTGAAACTTATGCCCAGTTGTAATACCAACGATCAACGGCTAGAGTGACGTCGACTGGCCTAGGCCAAACCTTGTTTCCCCTTCACGTGCCCGGCGTACAACCGCCCTTTCTCCTTCCGCCCAAACAAATGAGCGATACCGTGATACATCCCGCATTGAGAAGGAAAAATACTAATAAATCGCTCTGGGTTGCGCGTAATGGTATAGAGGCTACTGCCAGGCACGCATCTGTAAATCGGCTACACGAAGATGCCGACATTCGGCTGGCAAAGCAATGAGAGTCCACATGCTCAGTTCATCCGCAGTGTGGACTGGAGCGCCACGGCCATAGGCGCACCGGAAACATGGCCACACCAACTTCATCAGATGATAGATCTCATCATGCTGGATCCGACACCGAGCGCCATCATGTGGGGCGACAGCCTCACCATGATTTACAACGATGGATTCGTGGAATTTGCTGGAGAAAAACATCCGAAACTCATGGGAGGAACTCCACTCGTGTCATATGCAGAAGTCTGGGAAGCCCAGTTTGCTCCGATTGTACGGCTCGGTAGAGAGCAAGGCCAGGCGACCCGCCACAAGGATGTGCCATTGTTCTTGAGACGTCACGGATATACCGAGTATGTGCATCATGAATGCGACAAGTACCAGCTTACTGACAAAGNNAACAGAGAATTATTTGTGGACTATACGTTCATACCTCTTACTGGAAACAACAAGGAAGTTGTAGGATTCTATCATACTGCCGTGGAAACCACAGATCAGAATCTAGCTAGGCGAAGGACCCAAACATTAATCGACATAGGCAATCATGCAGGCGGTGCCCGAGACATGAGGCAATACTGGGATGCGGTGCTCAAAGGGTTCGAAACCAATATCTGGGATATACCATATGCGATCGCCTATGAGTTCCACAACGACAGCGACGGAGAAAAGTCTTCTACAAATGGTTCCAACCATCGTTCTGGTTCTCGGTCAAGGTCGAATAGGTCTGGCTCGTTCTCAGAATCTGTATCGTCATCAGGCCGGATTACTATCCCTAGAGCTTGCAGTTTGGCTGGTGTGATTGGAAGATCTATGACACAGGTCCCACTAGGCTTGGATGTTGCGCTAGAGGAACCTGGCTTTCATCAAGTCGTCAAGAAGGCTATTAGTTCCGGAGAGCCCATACGCCTCGAGATCGCCCACGAAAAGACACCGGACTGGCTCAGATCAGATGTGCCAGGGAGAGCTTTCGACGAACTCATCACACATGCAGTGGTGATGCCAATTCGACCAACTACTCGGAACGATAGTGAGGGGCTGAACGCAATAGGATTTGTTGTAATGGGACTCAATCCGCGGCGAACGTTCGATACCGACTATCAACGCTATACACGACTCTGGAGCCAGCAGTTGGCCACCTCGGCGGCGTCAGTGGTTCTTCTCGAACAAGAGAACAGACGACAGATGCAACTCAAAGCTCAGCTTTCCATCAACGAACTTCGTTTCAGTCGATTTGCCGAAATGTCTAATGTTGCCATGTGGATTGTAGATCCTTCCGGAAGCCTTGTTTATGGCAACAAAACCTGGCATGACCAGATGGATGTCGCCGACAGTGCTTCGAAATATGATGATGAGGGCAACCCTATGTGGTGGGAAAGGGTAATGGAGGACACGAAGCCCGCTCTAGTGCACGCGTGGAAACTCCTGACCGAAGAGCAAATCGCGACAAATATTGAAATCCGGCTGAAGCCTACCAGGACAACAAAGCAAAGCCGATGGGTTCTCTCATCCGCATTCCCAGAGCTAGCCGAAGACGGTTCTCTCAAAGCGATATGGGGATGTAACACTGACATCTCGCACCAAAAACTAGCCGAGGACCTCAAAGAGCAAAGGCTTCTAGACGTCCTCGAAGCGAAGCGACAGAGCGAATCCTTTATCGATACCGTATCTCACGAGATGCGAAACCCACTATCGGCCATTCTGCAGTGCGCAGATGGAGTCAACACTGCTGTACTGGAAGCTCGGGAATCTTCTGGTAACAAATCCGATACTCAGCTTGACCGCGAAGGACTGGATTACATCGTAGAGTCCACTCAGACTATTATTTTGTGTGCGCAGCATCAAAAACGGATCATCAATGTACGTATATTCGAGATACATCTGTGATGATCCAACAACTGCCGCATTGTCTTGATCATCAATACAATGTGTTGAGACTTGGGTAGACCAACCACTGACTTTTTTCTTTTTACAGNNGATATCCTAACTCTGAGCAAGCTAGATGCTCGGCTCCTGGAAGTCACGCCAACAGAAGTCAATCCCGTTGAAACCGTCAAGCACGCGCTCAGGCTCTACCAGCAAGAATGTCAAAACGCTGGTGTGGATAGTGCAATACAAGTAGATCAATCATACAATTCCTTGGCTGTCGATCGTGTCTATGTGGATCCATCGAGATTGCTTCAAGTCCTGATCAATCTGTTAGGTAAGACTGGCCTGATGTTATCCTCGAAGCTGTTCACTAAACGAATCCAGNGCAATGCAATCAAGTTCACTCAACATCAAGACCAGAGAAAGGTCACAGTCACTATTAGCGCATCTCGCGAGAGCCCGGCAATGAGAAGCGATGGCGAACAATACTTCTTCCCCAGAGCTTCAAAACAAGAACCAGTTTTTGGTCCCGACTGGGGTACTGGCGAAGAACTCTTCCTACACTTTTCGGTCAACGACACGGGAGTCGGTCTAACAAATGATGAAATGAAGAATCTGTTCCTTCGCTTCTCGCAGGCGTCACCAAAAACTCACGTTACTTATGGTGGAAGTGGCTTAGGTTTGTTCATCTGCAAAGAACTAGCCGAACTTCAAGGTGGCCGCATTGGGGTGTCTTCCACACCAGGCAAAGGAAGCGATTTCAAGTTCTATGTCAAGGCCCGCCGAGCCGCAACCTCTAGCAGGCGAGAGACTCCTGACTTCGAAGAGACGGCTGCAAAGAAACCGAGACAGAGCAAGCCTTCACACAACGGCCAGAAGGCCGCTGACGAGACGACTGACTTACGCGTCACACACCCTAACTACGTTGCACCTTTGAACAGATCTCACTCAGCATCTCAAAACCCTATTGTCGGTTCACCAAGCGATGCGAATACGTTGCACGTTCTGGTTGTAGAGGACAACTTGATCAACCAANAAAGTATGTTCTTCAAGTACCAGAGCCTTGGTCATTTGCTAACAGTGATACAGGTGATGGCGCAACAGCTCAAGAAGGCCAAATGTGAGGTCCATGTCGCCAATCACGGTGCAGATGCTCTATTCTTCCTGGAAAAGACCAGTTTTGCAAAAGATTGTGGACCATATGCAACACCGCTGTCAATAATTCTTATGGATCTCGAAATGCCAGGTATGCCAACCCCAGCCACTAGCATTAACTCAATCTTACTAAGACCTTTTTCAGTCATGGACGGGTTGACTTGCATACGAAGGATTAGAGAGTGGCAAAAGCAAGGAAAACTCACAAGACCGGTGCCAGTGATTGCAGTAGGTTGACTCATGGTATCTGTCGCTTCTTCTACTAACAAGTAAATCAGGNTCACAGCAAATGCTCGCCATGAGCAAATTACCATGGCACAAGAAGCAGGAATGGTAAGATACCATTTTCACATATACAGCCATATCATCGGGGACTAATACGCAAGCTAGGACGACGTTGTTACGAAGCCTTTTAAGATCTCCGAACTGATACCCAAGATGCATACACTGATAGAGAAGATCTCGACCTGATGATCTGGCACACAGCATAGTCTCAATCTCAATGGACAAACCATCATGGGCGATTTGACGCCAACATTATTTTTACACAGAAACTTCTCGAGCGAGGCCACACGTCTCGAACAGCAATGAGCTCAATTTCTCATAATGCGACCACCAGCTTGCCGAAGACGATAAGACTACGCTTGTTGGCTTGGTTCCGCTTTAAAACGCGTCACAAGTCAACGACACTTCCACAAGCGACTTACAGAGACTGTGGTGACAACCTTCCATCCCGAAGCGAAGATGTGCAAAGACTGCTCTGATTTTGAATCTGAAAATTAATTGATCCTGATCGGGATGAGAAGTCGCACTTCTATGCGGCTGCCTATGCGATTTGCCATTTCATACTCAAAAACACATGGCACATGTGCCGCGCCACAAAGCTTAGGCTCTGTGTGCTTACACTGGAGACTTTATCAAAAAGTGCTTAAAACTGATATTGGCAAGGAGGTACATGAACGGAAAATGCAATAGCCGGAGGATAGCCTAAAATCTAATTTCAGCCGCCATATATCGTTGCACTACCTTTAACCCCACCAACCACCCCGCATCTCGACACTTGCCTATAAGTGTATATCAATACACGAGCAGAGCCTCGTAATTACAATCATTCTGACATTGCTTTCTTTGTGCAGGTCTTCAGAGATGATTTCAGCAATGCCGGATTATAGCTTGACTGACGAACAGAAACAACACTTCCTCGAGCATGGCTTTATCAAACTTGAAGATTGCTTTTCGACAGAGGGCGAAATGTGTAGAGGACTCATGGATCGTGCGTGGGAGCGATTGGACATGGATCCAGACGACAAGGAAACTTGGAACCCATGGCGAGGTACGAGCTGATTTTCATCTACTTTGCTCTTTCCTCTTCTCTTACTCTTCAATCGCCAAAGGCATGGGAGATGAACACTTGCTGATGTAGTCAATACATAGNTGCACCTTCCTCGCTACCACCAAGCCATCCCCATGCGTGACTTTTGTCCCAAAGCCTGGTCGGCAATCTGCGAGCTCTGCGGTGGTGAAGACCGTATCGATACTGGTTCCTCCACGACTCCTGGTCTCGACTCTTCTGTCCAAGATATTTCGCTCTCGGTAATCAATGACGGCTTCATAGTCAACGTGGGTAGCAAAGCAGACGAAGTCAAATGGAAAGACGCCTCTGCACAAGGCACCCCGTCTGGACCCGACCACTTGACACCTGCACAGCAAAAGTTGCTCGATCCACATGACAGAACCAACTGGCATGTTGACGGCGACTTCTTCCACCATTTCCTTGATAGTAAAGAGCAAGCTCTTCTGCCCATCGTTCTATTCAAGGATATCAAGATTGGAGGTGGAGGCACGATGATTTGTCCTGACGCCATACCCACAATGGCTGAACATCTATACAAGCACCCAGAGGGCTTGATGCCCGACATGACGAATATTGAAGGCAGAGAAAAGCCATACAAAGACTTTGACCACGGATTCTTCGATGAAGCTGTAAAACCAGTAGCCAAAACCCAATTCAAGACTGCCACTGGAAAAGCGGGAGATATCTATCTCTTGCACCCGTTGATGGTGCATTCGGCTGCTCCGAATTATTTGAGAGGTAGGTACATTTCATCCCATACACCTTCCTTGTTCATAATCTCCTTCCTTCCACGCAGCTACACTTCTCTTTACATCAGTGCACCACAGACTCTGACACTTGCTACAGAACCACGCTTCATCACCAACCCGCCAGTAGCCCTCAAACAACCCTTCAACTTTGACAGAACAGACGGAAGCGCCTACAGCCTAGTAGAGCAGAAAACACTAAATGCATTGGGTCAACCTCAAGGACTCAAAGGGTGGAAGATTACTACGGAGAGAAAGCAGATCGTGCCAGAAAGAGTCAAGGAGCAGGCCAAGATGAAGAAGATCTAAGGATGATTTGATGCTGGTTTTGCTGAAGTACGAGCACATATGTACACGAACTTGTTTCATGTAGGAGGATAGGATTGTTGGGCTGTGTTGTATGTTACGAGAAGTTTCTATGCCATGCACCCACCACTTGAGAAGCATAGTCAGAGCAAAGATGAAGTTGCAACATTGAAAAAGATCAAATAATATCCCTGCGTACTACCGCTCTACTTTTTCTGTTACGCCATGGCCTGCCTGTAATAATCTCACTCCACACTCAGACATGGTCGATAAGGGACAAAGGCTTCCTGACCAACTTGTATCGTTTGATGCTACACCGTCCGAGTCCTCTACCTTGGCTGCAGTAACAGATCCCGGGCTAGCATATCTTGCGTCGTTCAAAGTCATCTCAAACATAGTCGCCAATCTTGTTCAGACCTTTGAGCGAGCCGAGACTGAGAGCCAGTCCCTGTGATCTGCTTCTTATCCGTACGAAACCAGTGACAGTGCCATCTTCTTGCTCGACACTGAGATTGGCCAAAGCGTCCTCACCTNNGGTTATTGTTAGCTTTAGGAAACATATCGGAAAAAACAATAGCGACTTACCGAATACACTTCGGGCATATAGGTTAGCACTCAAGAACTGACAGTCTCCACTGAGACTGGCATCCGGTGTTAGACAGCTCATGTTTGTGACCTTCATCAGCCCCTTCAAGAAGTCACGCAGTCCCTTGCCGGCTGGCATCTTGGTGTTGATGTTGACCTTGTTCTCCCACTCAAATTCGGTCCACATGGTTCTGAATTGTGTCTCGGTGCACTGTGCTGGTTGGATGTAGTCCATGATGTCGACGTGAACATCGTTCAAGATGACGACGTTCTGATCTGTCGAAGAAGCACCCTCATACACAACGTTTCCGAAAATGACTCCAGTGTCTGTGGAAGACACCTTGATAGTGGCCTGAACATTAAGGAAGTCCAATGGCGACAGATTTTGCGTCGTAGGTCTCTCGACAACCTTGAGGTCACCAAGAGTAGCGAACTCTACCGACAGGTTTTGCAGAGTGTCCTGAGTTTGGTTGACGAGTAAGACATCAAGAATGATATCGAATTGGTGGACCTGGACGTATGCCTCGGCGTATACGGGGTCGGAGAAACCGGTAAGCTGCACGACACGGCTGAGTTTGGAGCTGAGATCTTCCATTGCAGAGTCACCACCAGTGGCCTTCTCCAAATCGAGTTGAATCTCATCAGCGCCATCCACGGCGTTCTTCTTGCTGAGTTGGCGAATGGAAACCACGTCGTCAACCTGGATTGCGTTCTTGGCTTTGCTTAGTGCGTCCTTCTCAGCGCGCTTCTTCTCCTCAACGTTAACCATGTCTCTGAACGCTTTTCGGGTGTCGTCGAGGAATGCGTTCTCGAGCTCACGTTTCTGGGCGAACTCTGCCAACGATCTGACACAGGACATGATGCGGTCGATAGAATCCTCATCGATGGGGTGTTTGACGAATTGCGATTGTCCAACGCGAATGATGGAAATCATGATGAGCATAGCCTCAGCACGAAGAGCATTTGTTCTAGCTTGGTCGTCCGAGATTTCGCTGTGGCGCATCACAAGCTTGGTCAAAGTAGACGCAAGAACACTGGCAAGGTAGTAGTCGCCATCGAGGATCAGCTGTCTCAATGGAGGCTTTTGTGCAGCCTTGACAGCTTCCAGCTTGGCCTTAACAGCAGACTGACTAGTAAGAGCACTCTCAGTGGCGTATGTACCGTCGGCAAGAACCTTTCGTGAACCTGTTGGAGCGGCCTTTGCGTTTCCGTTGACCTGGTCGTTTAAGTTCGGCTCGCCGTCGGGCTGTTCCTCAAGAAGACGTTGTTCAGAAGCAAGGATAGGAATCTCTCCCAGACTGGCACGGATGTGCTTCCAGGCTTCACGGATATCGTTGGCTTCCAGAGAGTATTCTCCAATGATCCAAAGAGAGCCACGGTAAACCTTTCCAGCACGGACTTCACTGAGAGTGGACACAAGACGTCCAACAATTGTCGCTCTGAGTTTAGGGAACTTCTCGACAACCTCTTTGACGAACTGAATGACATCGACGGCAGATGCGTTGTTAAAGTCGGCGATGAAGTCCATCAATAGACCAACAACACTGGCTGCGACCTCGGAGAATTTGATGGCGCACTGGTGGATGGAGTGGATGAGCAGAGACCGGTACTCGTTGTTNCTGGTACGCTTGTTAGTGTCGCGCTTGTCAAGCAGTTTTGAGCCACAAACCTTCTCGTACTGCTCATCTACAGTCTTGGACAGCTCTTTCTTCAAAAGCAAAACAACTTCCTCGACGTTCTTACTCGAGACCATGTCCATGGCAATGCTGAGAGCCTTTCTACGGACATCAAGATCGGGACTGGACAAGACGCGCAGAACCTCCATGGTCAAGTCGTCGAGGATGCCTTCGTTGACGCGACGCAGTTGGTTGACCTTCTCGAGGACAATCAGCTTGACGTTGTTGTCCGACTCTTTGATGGCCAATTCGATGAACTTGGCAGCGGCTGCCTTTACTGCGACAGGGTTGCTGGTAAGAGCTGTGAGCGAGAATGCGGCTTCGTAGACGACGGTGGACTCTTTGGCCTCGAGAAGGTCGAAGATCAGACGGAGATAGCGTGCNCTAGTCACGGTCAGAGGAGCTAAGTGGTCGGTGCTGAGGCGTAGGCTAACCTTGTTCTGGGAGTTTGTGACTGCGTCCTTGCGGATGAATTCGAGCTCAACAAGCTGGAGCAGTTCGTCTGCGTTGGGGATACCCTCAAAGACAGAGCTCAGGTACTCGAGTGCCTGGTCGTGGCTGATGGAGATCAGGGCAGCGAAAGCGTTTCTCTTGCAGGTAGCGTCACTCTCGGACTCGAGGAAGGCCTGGAGAAGCTCGGGAGCATCGGGCATGAGAGCCTCGTTGTGTTGGTAGATGGAAGCAATGGCGAAGACGGCATTCTTGCGGACGTATGAATGACGGTGTTCGAGACATTGGCGTGCAGGCGCGAGAAGGGGTTCGATGAGTTCGGCGTCGCGAAGCTTGCAGAGGAAACGGAGAGTGTTGCCGCGGATGTACTCGTTGGCGTGCTGCAGGTCCATACGGATACCGTTACTGNNTGGGAGGGTGCAGTCAGTAGGCAGGTCTCACAGAGAGGTGGTGGTATGCCCTCACCAGACCAGAATCATCTCTTGCTTCAACTTGCCGCCAGCATCATGCTTGGGGCAGACCTCGTAGTACATGTATAACAGCTTCTTCAGGGCCTTGCTCTTGGACGGCATGACGAAACGGATAATGTGCATTAGGAGTTGGGGCATTGGGTCGCCGTTGAGCATGATTGTCAAGATGCGCTTCATCGTCTCTTGCTTGGCCTCGTCGGTGCCCTTTTCCAGTTGGTTCTTGAGGTCCTGCTGGGACGGCTGGTCGGCCGTGTTGTCTTGGTGCACCAAGCTGTATGCATTATCGAGGAAAGTCGCCATTGTTGAGAGTGTCTATCGATGGACCATGCACGCGGGGTGCGGAAAGAGGGAGAGTTGTGCTGGTGGTATTGCGAGTCCCCTGGCCTTCTTGTCCTAAGAGCGGACCTGAGCGGCGCAGTAAGAGCTGAGACGGAGGGAGTTGGGCCGGGGCGACAGTGACCTGTGCGACAAGTATGCAGCTGTCGGTGGTGGATGGCGAATTGAAAAGGTGTGAATTGTTGTCGTGTAGGCGGCTTAGTTGTTCAGGAGCTGTCCTTGGGCTACGTTTACACACCCCCGTCCAAGCCTAACCAGATTGAGCCATTTGCTCCATCGTCCACCAACGCCGCAGCGCGTCTGCATACATTTGATACCATCACACCACAACCACAACCACATTCATATACCATGGCAAGTAACGAGTCGTTCTACTTGCGCTACTAGTGAGTCTATACTGCCATTCTTCACCATCTTTGAAATCTTCATCGCTCTTTTCCCCTCAAGCTTCTCCCCATCATCCACAAGACCAATGATTCTGCAGCGCGGCCACTAATACCATCACAGCTCAGGCCACTCCGGTAGATTCGGACATGAGTTCNTTAGGTATCTATCATCAATGCAATCGTGTCTGTCTGTCTATATTGACCCCTCTCAAGAGTTCGACTTCCGCGCCCTGGGCGACGGCCGCTCTGCTTCGGCGCGTTATGCCAACAACTCAAACTACCGCAACGACTCGTTGATTCGCAAAGAGAGTACGCTAAATGAATTCTAATAACGGATTTATCTGACGTCTTGCCAGNTGTGTGTAAGTTCGCTTATGATTGAAGAGATCAAGCGCATCATCAAGGACAGTGAAATCTTGAAGTAAGTTTTGACGTAGACATAGTTATAAGCCACGAGCTAATACTTTGATAGGGAAGATGACACCAAGTGGCCACAAAAGAACAAGGATGGCAGACAGGAGCTTGAGATTCGTCTCGGCAATGAACACATTTCGTTCGAGGTTTGTAATCTCAATGATTTCTATCCAACAGCCATACTGATGTACTACACAGNNACAGCAAAGATCGGATCTCTTGTCGACGTCAACGAGTCAGAAGATCCTGAAGGCCTCCGTGTCTTCTACTACCTCGTGCAAGACCTAAAGGCACTCGTTTTCTCTCTGATCGCCCTTCACTTCAAGGTACGTCCAGGAAGAATGTCTGATTGTTCGATGGCATTGCTCACACGTTTACAGATCAAGCCCATCTAAACTCTGTATCATGATTCCAGGCAGGTAGAGGAAGGCGCGGCGTTCAGGTGTTCAAAACAGCCACTATCACGAGTATCATTTCCAGAGCATTTTCATCGAGGTTTTCTCAGAAGACAATGGCCGCTTGCTTCAAGGAACTGGTGGCCATACAAGACTATGGACCTGCTTTGCCATGGCCATGAAGAAGGTACCGATCGCCTTTGAGTCTGACGAGAACGATGGCTCAAACTACGATTCGGTTAAAGCGTCTGAGAGGTTCAAGAAGCAAAATAGGAAAATCGTGTTGAAACGCAAATGGCATGGCTACGCACGGGTGCATCTGGAGAATTGTTGGATCCTCGAGACTCGGCCAGGCCCAGCATGCACGAGACACCAAGGTTTTCCCCCGGAGGCAATGGGCTTGGCAAGTGCAGCGTGTGTCCAGCATGGTGACTTCTTTCTTGTTCACACTCGTGCAAACCAAACACTGTCCTGTCTCTGCATTGACCTTCCTATGTTCCTAATTCCCTGACCGCGTGCGACCATTGTCTCTCTTGATATTCGAACTTTCTTTTTGATCCGATAGCCATTTTTCTTCTGCCTGGTCGCCATCGCGCAACATGCCCACGCCCCATGATGACGAAACGCCTACACCCATCCATCTCTCCGCATCGAGTCCAACCCACGCGACTTGCCCACCTGAAGACCGCTCCACGCATACACAACGCGACAGCCATGTCCCGCCATCCGCAGAGTCGAGCCGCAATCGTGTAGTCGACCACATCGCTCAAATGCCTACACCCGACGAGGATCAAGATATAGAGCCGTCCTCGTCTGACTCGCCAACGAAACCCATGGACTTGGATGAAGACAACCTCGCGAAAGAGGCCCGCCTACCCACTCCTTCCAGTCCAGTAAATGATGATACGAAAGAGACGGATACACGAGTCACTCCTCCAGCCTCGGCACGGTCCTCTCCCACTCATTCGAGTTATCCCCTTAGCAGAAAAAGGGTTCGTACTACGACGACATGCAGTGACATACAGCCGCTGACGTTGTGTCTAATCAGCNTGATACCTTGTTTGACGTCCTCCTTCTTCCAATCAGGTAGCAAATTTAGGGGAACACAACAATCAGATCGTCAAACCTATGACGTCCAGGTTGAGATCAAGCATGTTGATATGGAAGAGTCTTTTGTCTGCGGCTACTTGCGCATTCAAGGTAAGGGTGTACCGACAGCGTCTCTTGACTTGTCGTGCTAAATCTGTTCAGGACTTACGGATGACCATCCAACATTAACCACCTACTTCGAGGGCGAAATCATTGGCACGAAACACTCGTTTCGCACTGCGCATCCAGAATGGGGCTCTTCAGAAAAGGTCGACATGCAACATTGGGCGCGCTTTCCACCGTGGAAGCCTCTCGCTAAGCACGCCAAATCGCCCAATTTTGCATGCCAGGACTATGCCCAGCGTGAGCATCTCTTTATGAGATGGAAAGAGTACTTCTTGGTGCCAGACCACAAGGTCAAGTCCATCACTGGAGCGAGTTTCGAAGGCTTTTACTACATCTGCTTCAACCAGCGCAACGGCTCTGTGTCGGGAATTTATTTTCACTCTCGCAGCGAAAAGTACGTTAATACTCCAGCGAAACATGTCTTATCAGGACAACAGCGCTGACTTCGAACCAGATACCAACAGCTTGAGTTGGTGCATGTGGAAGACCGAGGCTGTGTCGGTGCTGTCGAGTTTCGATAGCCCATGCAAGGTCTCGGCTACGAAGAAATGACTTGAGGAAAGTTTTATGGTATAGGTCGTTTTCTTCATTCTTTGTATCCTTTGTATATGTCTGGCGTTGGTGAATTGTCTTCGATTGTGTATTTATTCAACCTTGGGGGCTTGTGGCATCTTTGACGGAGCCGCCCCTTATTTTTCGTCTCGAGCCATTGCTCAGGCAAACGAGTGTGGCATGTTGTCTCGTTGGTGTTTCTTGTAAATAGTTTATCTTTCCTGCATGCGTTCAGGCTTGTTGTCAATCTAGTCTCTTGTGCACGGCAGATTCGACTGCTGTTCTGCAATACGACTCGCAATCCCAACAACAACAACAACAACAACAGCATCGGCGAGATTCCCCATCGTGCATTGTCAGAGTCAACCAGGGTATATGGTGTACTGAGGCCCCCACCATGTTCGGTGTCAGTGGTTAAGCGTCCCGTCGGCTTTGGACTGCGATATCAGCCGTCTTGCCCTCGGCGAACTCGGGGGAGCTTAAACGCGGCCAGGCGTGGGGAAATAATTATACAGCCGCTTCCAACCGACGCAAGCCGTGCAGACTATCGGTGATGCGAGTGTAGCCAGATAAATAACTGGAGCTGTCTTTGACATTGTCAGACTCTGTCCTTGTCCCTCTTCCTCTCGATTGTATCAGTCATCTGTCAGTCGTTCATCATCATGGCCGCCAGACTCACTCTCCAGAGCTACCTCAAGGCTCCCAAGACTGCATCTCTCGCCAATGGCATCAAGAACACTCGCACCATTGCGACCTTCAAGGTGCCTGCCGTGAACAACGAGCCCAACGTACGTCTCGAAGAGCCATGAAGCTGAGGAACCGAAGCTAATGAGTTGGTGAAGCCTACCTACTCCAGAGGTACCGTAGATCGTGAGAAGCTCGCTGCTGCCCTGAAGAGCTTCAGACAGCAGGCCCCCGTCGATGTTCCCGTTGTCATTGCTGGCAAGACTGTAAGGATGATTGCTATGTACGGAAGCACGAGCAAGCAACTGAGATATAACACTAGANTCTCGAGCCAGACCAAGCTCTCACAATCCGACCCCTCGGCCCACGCCAACTCTGTTGCATCCTACGCCAACGCCTCTTCCCAGGACGTCTCGGCTGCCATCGACGCTGCTCTGGCTGCTAAGCCAGCATGGGAGAACCTTCCCNTTGCCGACCGTGCCGCCGTCTTCCTCAAGGCCGCCGACCTGATCGCTGGCAAGTACCGCTATGAAATCATGGCAGCGACCATGGCCGGCCAGGGCAAGAACGCATACCAGGCCGAGATTGATGCTGCCGCTGAACTGTGCGATTTCCTTCGCTTCAACGTTCAGTACGCTCAAGACACATACGCACACCAGCCCACTCACAACTCGCCTGGCGTCTGGAACCGTGTCGAGTACCGCCCTCTCGAGGGTTTCGTCTATGCCGTGTCTCCCTTCAACTTCACCGCCATTGGTGGTAACCTCGCATGTGCCCCTGCTCTTATGGGTAACGTTGTTGTCTGGAAGCCTTCTCCCTCGGCCATGGCCTCCAACTACCTTCTCTACAAGATCCTTCTCGAGGCTGGTCTTCCCGAGGGCGTCATTCAGTTCCTTCCCGGTGATGCTGCCGAGGTGACCAAGGTCGTCCTCGCCCACCGTCAATTTGCCGCTCTCCACTTCACCGGTTCCACCTCTGTCTTCCGCAGCCTTTACGGTCAGATTGCCAATGGTGTCGCCGAGGGCCGCTACCAGGGCTACCCTCGTATCGTCGGTGAGACTGGCGGTAAGAACTTCCATCTTATCCACCCCTCTGCCGACGTCCACAACGCCGTCATCAACACGGTCCGTGGAGCCTTCGAGTACCAAGGCCAAAAGTGCTCTGCCACCTCTCGCGCATACTTCCCCGCCTCACTCTGGAGCAGTGTCAAGGAGGGCTTGATCTCCGAGACCGAGAAGCTCAAGATCGGCGACCCTGAAGACTACTCCAACTTCATCGGCCCCGTCATCCACCAGGGCAGTTTCGACAAGCTGAGCAAAGTCATCGACGACGCAAAGAACGACTCCGAGCTCGAGTTGCTGGTCGGCGGCAAGTACGACGGCTCAAAGGGCTACTACATCCACCCCACCATCTACGCAACAAAGAACCCCGCTCACCCGCTACTCAAGCAAGAACTCTTTGGCCCCGTCCTGTGTGTCTATGTCTACGACGACGCAGCACCCAACGCCTTTGCCAACATCTGCAAGGACATTGACGCTTCCTCCGACTACGCCCTGACCGGTGCGGTGTTTGCCCAAGACCGCTATGCCATCCGTTTCGCCGAAGAGGCGCTCCGCAACACGGCCGGAAACTTTTACATCAATGTCAAGAGCACCGGTGCCGTTGTCGGCCAGCAGCCTTTCGGTGGCGCCAGAGCCAGTGGCACCAACGACAAGGCTGGCAGTGCTAACCTGTTGGCTCGCTTCGTCAGCATGCGTGCCATCAAGGAGGACTTTGTCGGCAGCGACAAGGTCGTTTACCCCAGCAACGAGGTTTAGAAGGGAAAGAGGAAAAAAGCAGATTTTTTTCATGATGGGTACTTTGTATAAAAGGGGAATATGGAGGGGGAACAAGGCGATATTTGGCGTTTTTTTACACACTTTCTTTGTTTATACCTTTTTTTTTCTTTCACGATATAATCCCCTTTTAGCAGCACATGGCGGATAGTCATACTGTATCAATGATGATGAAACAAGAAGAAATTGTTCGTATTTACATGTTTACATCAGACACATTCGGGTTGGAGAGCATCTCGTCCTCTGGGGACGAATACGACATGATGCGACAACATCTACTGTTGCCCTCGAAGACCTCTCAGAGGCCATGCTTACTCTTCTCTTCTCTTCTCCCCTAACCAATCCTTCAAGAGACGCCATTGAACGCCTCGCTTACTTGCTGTCATTGCGCAACCGCTTTGGAGGACCACATACTCTTCCAACGCTCTGTCACAATATGATGTTTCCTTTCAAATGATTACCAGGTCCCAACATGACCTCAACTTTACTTTTCCCTCAAAGACGACATCCATTTCTTATAGCTGCAAAGAGAGATCACGGTGGGGCGTCTGGCTTCAGCTCATCTGTATCTCCTTGGCCTGCCTTTGGGCGGCCTCGACACCCTCTGGCGCTTGGCGGTAGAGGACGATTTCGCTCTGCTTGAAGTAGCGGCGGGCGTCTTCGTCGATGAGGACGAGGGAGAGGTAGTAGCGTGTCGAGTATTTCTTGTTTACTTCGCGGAAGGTGGGTGTTAGGTCGAAGCCGCCGAGGAAGAGACGGATGGGGATTGTTTCGCCGCGGGAGGGTGAGCCGTCCATGATCNNTGGGAAGAGAGGTCAGTGAAAGATTTAAAGAGATACATGAGCTGTACACACCTCGAAGCGCACAAGCGTCTCGCTCTCGTTGTATTGATTCGGCGGTACACCAGTGGTCTCGCGCCGGATGATACTAAGTTCCATGTGTTTGATCTTCAGTCGCACGAGCAAAAAGTAGATGCGGCCGACAATGACATCCTTCAGGTGGTATTTGCTCTTGCTGTACTCGAACTCAATGTGCAGGCAGTCCTCGATACCAACGTCCATCTTGATGACCGAGTTGGTCTCTGGCGGCATGCGGTACGAGTAGACCCAGAGATCCTTTTCGCGCACGACATCCTGCATACGGCGACTCACGGTGACGCGCACAAAGTAGCGTAGACGCACGTTGATGCCCGAATAACTCTCGTAGGGCTTCTCGACGTTCTTGAAGGTGAAGGGGAAGGTCTGGGGATGTTGGAGGTCGCCCGGGGCGGCAAGCTCTGTTTGCATGGACAAGAACTCGTGGTGGGTGCCGCGGTCGAAGAACATTTCGATTGTGCCGATGAATTGGACCTTGATGCCGGTGTGCTCTAAACGCTTGCCGTCTTTCGGGCGGACGGTGACGGCGCCTTTGACACTCTCGCCGTCTAGATATAAGGGGGCCTTCTCGCGACGGTTCTTGTCCATCTTGACGTCGACCATGGCGCGCTCGTCGGTATCTTCGAGTACGATGTCTATGTCTAGAGGGGTTGACCAGAATAGCGACATGATGGGTGGTGATGTGGGTGTTGGCGGGTCACAAGTGTCGCAAGCAGATGGTGAACAGGGGAACCGAACGGGGTGTGCGCAGGGGACAGAGTCGGAGAAGGAGCGATTGGAGCGACGAGTGGATCAATTAGGAAGTTGTTGCGTGTGTGGAAGGAAGGATGCTGCTGGCTATGACCGGCTGCGACTGCTGGAGCTCGTCTCATGTGCCAGCCCGCGCATGCGCCATGCGGAGCGGCCTTGGCGANNGGGCAAGCGCGGAGGCCGGCGTTTGCACCTGCTCTTCTCCGTGTCTGCCCATACATTTTTTTGAGCCCGCCGACTTTCTCAAGTCTGATTGCCTTCATACTCGACCACACATCATCCACAATGCCCAAGGTCGGAAAGCCCATCTCGAAGCGCACCTCGACGCGCCTGCGCAACAGCATTCAGAAAAAGTCTGCCGAGAAGCAAAGAAAGCTCCGCAAGCAAGCAAAAAACGTTCGTCAACTTTTCCACCACTGACATTTGTGCCTCGAGTACTGATTACCATCCCATCAGAACCCGGAATGGCGCTCCAAGATTAAGAAGGACCCTGGTATTCCCAACCTGTTCCCCTTCAAGCAAAAGGTTCTCGACGAGATTGAAGAGTCAAAGAGGAGGAAGGAGGAGGACAAGCAGAGAGCCCGTCTGTTGGCAAAGGCTCGTCGCGAGGGCATTGATGTCAAGGATATCGACCAGGTCGCCGCCGCCGAGGACGATGAGGACATCGACATCAGCGACATGGACGACGACGACGATGCTATGGACGAAGACGCATCAAACCCCATGGCTGCTCTGCTCGCCTCAGCACGCGCCCGCGCACAGGACTTTGACGGCGAAGCCGAGGAGGACGAGGACGACATGGACGAGGACATGTCCGACGACGACAATGACGAGGAACAGGCTATGAACGCCCCCACCGTGCGCAAAGATTCTTCTCGCCGCGCATTCGACAAGGTCTTCAAGAACGTCATCGAGCAGGCCGATGTTGTCCTGTACGTTCTGGACGCTCGCGACCCCAACGGAACACGATCAAAGGAGGTCGAGAGACAGATCATGGCTGCAGAGGCTGGACACAACAAGCGTCTGATCCTTGTCCTCAACAAGATCGATCTCATCCCTCCCCAAGTCCTCAAGGACTGGCTCATCCACCTCCGTCGCTCATTCCCTACTCTCCCTCTCCGTGCTGCCAACTCGGCTGCCAACGCCCGTACTTTCGACCACAAGGCCTTGACTGTCAAGGGTACCTCCGAGACCCTCTTCCGCGCCCTCAAGACCTACGCCCACTCTTCTCAACTCAAGCGTGCCATCACTGTCGGTGTCATCGGATACCCTAACGTAGGAAAGTCGTCCGTTATCAACGCTCTGACTTCCCAACTTGGCAAGAAGGGCAACTGTCCTACTGGTGCTGAGGCCGGTGTCACAACCAGCTTGCGTGAGGTCAAGATTGACAGCAAGCTGAAGCTTCTCGACTCGCCCGGTATTGTTTTCCCTTCATCCGCTGAGGGTGCAAAGGCCAACCGCACAGAGGAGCAAGCCCGTTTGATTCTGCTCAACGCTGTGCCGCCGAAGGAGATCGACGACCCCGTCCCTGCTGTTACTCTACTGCTCAAGCGTTTGAGTGCCAGTGCCGATGGCTTCCAGAAGCTGTTGGATGTTTACGGGCTTCCCGCTCTGATGACTGCCAACGGCGACCTCACCACAAACTTCCTTGTCCAGGTCGCTCGTAAGCGCGGCCGTCTTGGAAAGGGCGGTGTCCCCAACATGCACGCTGCTGCACAGACGGTCGTCACTGACTGGAGAGATGGCCGCATCCAAGGCTGGATGGACGCACCGACGCTACAACTCGCCAAGGAGGGCAAGAAGACTCCTGGCAACAGTGACAGCACTGGCCTTGTTGGTGACCAGAAGGAGATTGTCACCGAGTGGGCCAAGGAGTTCAAGCTCGAGGGTCTCTGGGGTGATGCTAACGAGGACACGGCAATGGAGTCGTAAAAAGGATGGGAAAAGTGGTTTCTTCTGGTCTGGGACTCTAGCGCGTACGGAGTTGATTACATGTTCCTTTATATGTTGGTTGCATACACTTATTAACGAGATACCCGGCCTTGTACCAAGAATGGCTTGTCGAGATTGTCTGATGCTCGTTGTATAGCTCCCGTGTGCTGGTCGTATGAATGTGATGTACGAGACGTGCTGTCTAACCAGAGCAAGGCCACTCTTTTAGCTGGAGGTGCATGAATCGAATGCTTACCTTAAGGAAGTATATAAAGTCTTGGCGTCGTAGCGTCACCCCGCGGTATTCTGAAGATTGGTGGTTCTTTTTTCGACCAGCAGCTTGCCATCAAGCTGAACAACTTTCAAACACATTTGTCGAGACAACCCGCAGCGATGGTCGGACCCCCTACAAAGCGCCAGAAGCGTGGTGAAGTGCCCGAAGGAAAACTACCACAAAAGAAATTCTTCCGCCAGAGAGCCCACGCAAATCCCTTCTCGGACCACAACCTCACCTATCCCGAGTCACCGGCTGCCTTTGATTGGGCAGAGCTATACCCAGCATATGCAGTCAAAGAGGACAAAGAAAGTCAGGATGCGTCATCTGCGCAAGACAAGAGCGTGGGAAAGATATCGAAACAGGTCGAGGTGGCAGACATTGGATGCGGTTTCGGCGGCTTGCTGTTCGCATTGGCTCCCATAATGCCCGAGACGCTACTACTGGGTACGCCGAATCAGACAGTTACCTCTTTGGAGAGCACATGAGCTGATGGCAAATGACACANNGGCATGGAGATCCGCTCCGCAGTGACGGAATACGTCCAGACCAAGGCCAAGGCATTACGCTCTCAACACACCGAAACCCAAGCTTTCCAGAACGTCGCCTGCTTGCGTGCCAACACGATGAAGTTCCTGCCAAACTTCTTCACCAAGGCCCAACTCAACAAGATTTTCCTCTGCTTCCCGGATCCGCATTTCAAGGCTCGCAAACACAAGGCCAGAATTGTTAGCACAACGCTGAACTCGTGAGTCTTGATGGAACGTCAGATATGGTTCAGAGTGATGAGCTAATGCGGACTCAAAAGGGAATACGCATATGTCTTAAGGCCGGGCGGTATCATCTACACCATCACCGATGTCGAGGATCTGCACAATTGGATGGTCGAGCACCTGGACGCCCACCCATCATTCGAGCGCGTGTCAGAGGCCGAGCAAGAGGCTGACGAGTGTGTGGCTGTGATGCGTCAAGAAACTGAAGAAGGCAAGAAGGTGACGAGGAACAACGGCAACAAATACGTTGCGCTCTTCAGACGCCGAGAAGACCCTGCATGGCCTTGAAATCTTCGAGATGATCTGTTTCGATCATGAATCTACGACCCGTCCGATTGAGTGGGCCCATTCTCTGCCAGTCACGGCGTCCAGCGCCCATGTTTTATCGTAAGTGACAGCTCATGCAGGTATCAAGTCATCAGCACATGCTCGGTCCACCTGAATCGGACAGCGCGAAGGCTGGTCGGAACGTGCTATGGGTCATACAATACCAAGTCACTACCATTACAGAGATTGGACATGTTTAGAGGCCAGGCATATATAGAGCGAAGCAGCTTCAGGAGACAGGTAAGCCATGCTCCATATACCTGCTTGAGTATCTTTCAAGTACGAATACCGAATGACTAAACGCTCCTCAGACTCTGTCTTTGGATGTCTGACCCCAAAATCTGTCGAATCCCTGATTGCCCCCTTCCACATCAACGGTCGTTCGATCTGCCTAGCTCTCGCTCAGAAGGTGCGCTTGTGCAGGTGATAACATCTACGAACCCATACTAGAGTCGTCATTGAAACCTTCATCAGTAGGTCTATAGGCCCGCATACCGTCTGCTGCGCTGTCCGGTGCGTACGCCATCTCACTTCTGAGTCGACACGAAGAAAAGTGCGAACAGGGCCGTCAATAGCGATGCGCTCAACAGCAACACAACAGCCATGTATTTGGCTTGCGAACCGGACATAGCGATATCTCGATCCCGCCTCTTGTCGGCAACGGTGCTTGCGTTCAACGTGCTTTCGATGTTTGCTGTATTGCTCAACAGGTTCGCACGCCTTTGTCCCAGATCTTCTTCCATTGCCGCAAGGCATCTCTCAAGCGTGTTGAGCTGTTCTCCGAGTGCCCTCAGCCATGCTGCTTCCGTTGCGAGAGTTTCATCAGGGCTCCTCTCTTGCTCATTCGACGCTTGGTTGGTTGTTCTGTGTGTATCAAGTACTTCGCCGAGTAACTTCTTGGTCTTGTCGAGTGACTGTCTGACATCGATGATGTCTTCGCTAACATCTTCGATATCTCCTTGTGAGGCGATGGCTGGCAAAACGAAAGCCATCGGACTCGCTGGACAAGACAGCTGGTTTGGGCCAACCAATGCAGCTGCCTGGTATGAAGATGGTAGTGACGCCAAAGTTGTGATGGAGCTGAGGTACGGTCGACGAAGCTATGAGCAAGATGTTCTGTGCCTGGCTCAGAGGTCAGTATATTGCAACAATTCTTGAGGCATAGGTCGGAACATACACTGTCTGATTGGACGCTGTTGTCGAAGATGAATTGATGGATCGATGTATGACATTGAACGAGAAGCCATATTTGAAATCACGAAAGCGCAGGTTTGTTTTGCACAGAACACTCTGATGGCAACCACGACACGAACGTGCTTGCTCACTCTAGTTTTGACGAAGGCAGTCGAGTTCTCAGAGAGTGGCACTTTCTGCTTTGATATCTGGACGACGCTGACAACTATCGATCGAGTTCACGACGAATCCTTCCTCACAACGCTTATATCTAATCAAGACTACATCAATACTGTTCTACAGAAATTTACTTGCTTGCACTACGACAAGATGGCCTATGGCTGTTCAATCAAAGAGAACGTCGGTCGTCTATGGCTTGCAAGCATCGATCGTAGGAATACTGACCACGCTCGCAGTGCTCTGACTCCTCACAGCAGAACCATGAGCCATCTTGTCTGCTCCTTATGAGTTCAACGCACATCTCCTGAATCAATCGCCGTGACTCGCACCACATAGGGACCTGTCTCTCTCATTATACAACTCATTGGAAAAACTCTTGAGAACTTCTCTCGGTGCCAGATTCAGTCCCGAATATCAACAGCGGGCCAACCAACTCGGACTGAATCTCCACGCTTCCCACAACACTTCCCACAGACTTGGAACTGTCTCTCCTTATCAATCCCCTCAATCCGTACTGAACCGGTCGGCAATTGGGCCGTCCTCTATCACAAGTATGACAAAGTAAATCTTGAGTCGGGTCGAGTGTACTGAAACCTTCAGACTCCTGGACCATGGATGTGCTGCAACAAGATAGACAGCCACAGACTCATTACTCGCATGGAAGGACCAACGTCGAGGATTAGGCAGTGGAAATTTTCACGACGCGAGTAGCAACATACCGAGTCAGAAGAAACACAACTGAAATCCAGCGTGCAAGCCCATGGAGTGTCTCACGGATAGGAGTCCTTTCCTGCAGTGACCGAGACAGCTTTACAACGCTCTCTTGACTGAGACGACATGAGATCCGCTTGAAGAGCCTCATCACGACCCGAGACAGGCATACCGGTCAATGTCGAGTCTCGATGTTGATGTTGAGGAAATCCAACCAAGAGTGATAACAAACTATGAACGCGGCAATCCTGACCTTGCATGTCAAATCCAATGGAAGCATGAAGGCAGTATAGAACGCCACTCGCTAGTATGCAAGCATTGGCCTTGATGACTAAGATGGACAATCGACTGACATCTTGACAAGACTCTCGACTCCAAGAATCTCAAATGTCTCCAGACTCGCCCGCTGTCAAGCGCACGTGGATGACAGAGTTTGAACAACATCCTATAGCTACAACGGACGCCGTGTTATGCTTATCGCACGAGTCTAAAAGAAGTCCGAAAAAAGCCCTCAACAAGCTTACAGCAAGCACAAAAGCATGTCGTTGCTCTGTTTTGGCTTTTTCCTCATCATGTGTCATGATATCTTGACATGATTAACCACAAGCCACAAGCGAATGTGCTATACTATGCCAAGCCGAGACGACTGTATAACTGTTCTATCGAAAATACAAGACATTGTACTGGTTAGCGGACAACTGTCTCGAGGCCCGGTAGGGATTACCTTTGCTCGTTGTCCTTCCTACATTCAGGACCATCATGATCTTCTTCCGCGGATTCGGGAAAGTGGAGAGTATGATCGAAAGATATTCATATGGTCTTTCTGGCACAAAAGGAAAAAAGACGATGCAAGGTACGGTATCTAACGGCCGCCGCGAGGCGTATCTGGGTACCTGCATCCGTCAGCACACTCCACTACTCTACACAAGACTCCGACCAATCTGGGGTACAAGAGAAGTATGTGGAAAAGCTAGTGCTGCGAACTTTGTCGGTCCTGGTCGTCTGGCGTGGCCCTTTTCCCGCTATCCATGCAAGTCATGAGGCGTTATGGGCAAATCAAGGCATTCAAGGTTGCTGGCAGCAGAAACTGCCTTGCAGAAAGGAAGCTAGGCTGCCACGCACATCCAAGATTCGGCCAAAGTAAGAAAGTGGTTCGTCATGGGCGGATCCCACCCAGCAGCTGGCTGATCCTTTCCCTGTGGCATCTGTCATGTCTGTCAGCTGAGCCCTTGTGGACGAGCATCGAATGGCATGATGGGTCGACACGCCACAGGCTCGCAATCGTTAAGCCCGTATCGCAACCGCAGTACTCAGTCTCGAACACAACAGTCAAAACGACCAAGCAAGGTCTGGGTTTCCTGTTGCAGGGAGGAGTCGAATGTGCTCGCACAAGGACCATCAAGCAATCGATAGACCACAAGAACTTCCCAAAGTGGATTTATCCCAGCAACGGCTTTTCGCCTCTGGGCTGATACAAACGTTAGTAGTCGCCATGCACACAATCACCCGTTGCGTTCGCGGCGTGGCCTGTCGTCCAGATATGGTCAAGTAACCCTCATGCCCGCAGCACCACGGGAGCGGGCCGTTGAGTCTATTTGAACGGCTCTCTTTTGTTCGTTTGCACACTCTTTACCCATCACTCACCTTGACACCACGATTTTAGACCTGAAACAAGCTTCGTTTTCACTTTCCCTATGCACGCCTTGCCCTCGTCGGCCCTGTCCTGTTTTCCCTTCGCTACCGCGAGATCGAAAGCTACCGAGGGATCGAATAGAGAGAGAGAGCGGACGGGCGGACGCGTCCGTCTTGCCGACCAGCGGTGCACTATACCAATCGGTGGACTATGCCAAATGCCAAATGACATGAGTGGACAGCCCTCCGAGCCGAGCGTTTTTTCGCTCTCACGATGCCTGTTTGCAGCTATCCATTGCAAAAGCGTTGATGTGGACGTCCCACGCTCTGCTCTCTTAGTCATGTGGTCGGACCGGTCGTACACAAAGGTCGACATCATCGAGAAAGGGCATGTCCAGACCCTGGTGTTCGACACTCGATACCCACAGTGGAACGAAGGATAAGCAAGGCGATCAGGGCCCGTATCAAACGGCTCGGCCTCTTGTCAATCTGCTGTATGCGTGACACGTCAGTTTGAGCAAGGGGAAGCAGCAGATGATCGTCAGACCAGAGCGGATCGTGAAAAGTGGACGGGAAAAAAGGAAGTAATGTGTGTAGAGAGGAGCTCATCTCGATTCGCAAAAAGTGATTGATGGCATCTAAGTTTGACCTCCTCTTTCTTTGCCTTTCCCATCCTGTTTTGACCTATTGTCCCGCTATCCTTCCGTGTTGGGTATTCCCGTATGATACATTGCCATGTGTTGCTTGTTCGCATAGAGTAAAAAAAGAAGAAAAGAAAAGTCCAGACTGTCGCAATAGAAATTAAGTGATTAGAGAGAGTTCTGAACGTAAAGAGGTGTAAAGTGACCACCCATCGTGGGAAAGACGGAAAAGATGGGATGTTGAAGTTCATGCCCAGCTTTTCCCAAAACGCATGCAAGAATTAAACGACAAACGCCTCGCTTCGGGATATCCAGTGCTGTAAGGCATAAAATAAATCAGACATAGAAAAGAAAACATGATAAGGAAATGAATCAAAGATAGTGTCGTCATCAGATGGAGAGATTAAAATCTGTCGTGGAGTGTGTTTTATGCTGCGGCCGATTCGCAAGAGGACGAGGCAGGGCTGGAACTGCCCTTTTGTTTGGCGTGCTTCTCAAAATATTCGGGTCCGTGGTTCGAAAAGGTGTAATTTTTAGGTCCAGACTCGACGGCTTTGCGAGGAGTGTTGGATTGCTTGACGTCCCGCGGAGGCGAATATTCATGAACAAAGAAGTCGGCCCCGGGGTTGACATGCTTCGGAACCTGCGAGGAGCCAAGGACGCCGGGGCTAAGACTTGAAGATGGCAAGAAAGGTTGCTGCTGATGGGGAGGAGTCGCTTGCTGCATGTGACTTTGAGTGAAGGGTGGCATAACAGGATAGCCTGAAATGACCTCGCCTGTGTTTGTCATTATGTACGACATCTGCGTGTCCATGTATTGGCTCTGCTGTTGCTGAGCAGGAAACATGACATTGTGCATCTGTGGATACTCGTTAGGCAGCATGCCAAGGAAGCCCTGAGGGTTGGCTTGTGATTGAACCAGGGGCATTGCCGACATCTGAGGTGGGCTAAATGCACCACTGGGGAAACATTGCTGAGTCGGAGGAGCAGACTGAGGAGGGGTGTTGTCAGAAGGAACGGCCAAACTTCCCATGCGGCTGCGAATGAACTGGCCGCCGTAGAGAGGAGTGGTCGGCGGGGAGAAGTTCATGCCAGAGACTATGTAGTTCTCATCACCTTCAGGCAGGCTCGTCTGTCTGAGCATAGGCTGAGATTGCATGTGGCGCAGCGTGCTTATCGTGTTAGTCGGAGACAGCGGGGTTGGAGGAGCGAGACTAGCAGTCGATGCAGCAAGACTAGCATAGGCAGGAGAGAATGAGGAGACACGACGACCGTATCGAGCATTGTTGGCCTCGGCAAAAGTGGTGTAGCCAGAAGGCGAGCGCTGAGCAGAACCAATGTTCTTCTGGATGCGGCCACCAGCAATGCCGTTCATGGCTTGCGATGACTTGATACGACGCAGAGTGTGACCGCCGATAGTGTGGTTGCCGCCGACCGGACCTGGAGATGTGGGCAGCGTGCCGCAATACGAAGTACTACGGGCGCTCGTGGTGCCCAAAGGAGCTGGACGAGGGCGCTGTCGGCGCGCGGCGATGCTGGATGAGGGCATGGCTGAGCGTTGAGGCGCCATGGTGAAGCTTTGCATCGAACGAGCAAGCTGGACCGTTGAAGATTCGCGGCGGTTGTAGTCATCACCAGGGAACGCCATGGGTTGG